GCTTTTAGGTAAATCTCGAGAAGGCAGAAGGCGGTGGGGGGGTGGGGGTGGCCCTTGCGGAGATATTCAAGGTTCCCGTGAATTCGTGGTGGAGCGCTGCAGCTTATCCTCCTGGCCTTTCACCACGTTTCTTTGAAAGTTTCTCCTCAAAATAAGGGTGCTCTGAACCGCATTTGTAACTGTTCGGGATTAGAACTCTTGTACCTTTTTCTTTGGTTTTGGTTTTTCTTTTCTAAAGGGGAATCTGAAGAACTGAGAGGCTTGCTTCTGAATCCGCATCTCAGGCAGCTACTGCTGGCAGTCGATCAGGCAGAAGATAAAAGCTCCCTCCTGAAAAAGTACATGCAGGAGCCGTTATTTGTGGAGTTCGCCGACTGCTGTTTGAGCATTGTTGAACCTCCGGAGAAGGAGAACATTCTTCCCGAGTGAGCTACTTTGGGAACATTTTTCTTTCCTTGAGGTTTTTTTCCCCTCCTGACAGAAGAGACTCGGCAGTGCCCTGTGCTGCTGTGCTGCGCCGCTCTGCGTTTCCTCAAGGTTTGGTCACGCCGTGCTCATGGATGTCAGCCCTCTTAATTTTCAATCCAGAGTTGATAAACCCTGACATAGTCGTGTTGGACAGGTTTGTAGGCGCTAGGAATTAACCTTGACGTTCTGTGGACTCGCTTTCTGTCGGCACAGAAATACTGTCAACCATGGGAAATCAATATTAAATATATTTGCATTTATTTTAATCCACAAACTAATCTGAGATGTTTTTGTTAACTAAACCTTGTTGGGAATGGTCAGACACCGTTATAGAGTATTGAATAGTTTATTTAAGTGGCATACACAGAAGAGCTGGACATGTTCAAGACCCATGTAGCAACACAAAGATGGCATAGAGTGCCTCCGAGAACTTTGGCCGAGGTCTTGCCACTGGCTGGGGAGTGCTAGAAACGCACGGCCGTTGTGAGAGTACGGGTATTTTGGTCCTAGAGATAAAAAAATCAAGAGTCCAGGCTCGCTTTTCCCTGAGACATCTGCCTTTAGTGTTACAGTTGATGGATAATTGCTGCCAAAGTCACCATCGGGGGTGTCACGGTGGCAGGGCACGCTCGGGGTTGGTCGGAACAGTCGCACCTCCCACCTGAGCCCAGCCCCCATTGGCAACACTGGCCTTGCTCTCCTGTTACCAGCCTCTTGCTTCTCCCGGGCGGTGCCAGAAGTGTTCAGTTCAAGTATATATTGCTTAAAGCACTTGATCTGTTTTAATTATGTTGAGTGTTCTCATAGTACTGATATTTTCTCTAACATGTGCGTGTGTGTGAGGGGAGGAATTCCCCCCGTGCGTTCTAAATTTGTAGTATATGTACAATGCATTGATATGGAAAGCTCTGAGGTAGCAGCAGAGATGGACGTGGACTAATTTGAAAGCAGCAGCTTGCAGACAGTCCTTCCCCGAAGGAAAAAGTACAGTATATGCAGATGGCCAAAACCTATGTTGGAAGGAGGTTTTTTCTGTCCAGTAAAATCTGGTTAAATCCAGTGATGGAACAGGCATCCCTGTGGGGGCTGACATTGGCGTAATGCAGGGGAGACTTCTTACAATGAAACTTGATGGAGCCCTGCAAGAAAAAGAGGTGGAGAGGTCAGTCGATGGTTTTGCCATGTTTTGAGCTCATTTTGCTGTTCAAATTAAGGAGTGCTTCAGTACGCAGTAACTAGTGAGTATCAGTGAGGAGGGAGGAAGACCTCCAACGGAGTCCTAGTACAAATGGATTGAAGAGAAATGATTACTACAAAGAGCACCAGTACTGCAACTGGAACTGAAATTAGCTTGGACTCTGAAGGTTTGAGTATTTAGTCAGTGCTTGGCAGTGCTTCTTCCCACTTGCAGTAGCTGTGACCAGGCACAGGCTCCATTCCTGCACGCGTAACTTTATGGAACCTCAAAAACTCATCACTTGTCACCCGATGGCAACCTCTGAGAGAGGCTGGTGTGGGCTGTGGCTCCTTTGCAGTAAATGGTATCTAAGACTGTTCTGCACGGGGGTGGGAGATGAAGAACGGGAGGGTTGCTCCCTGCTCACTGCCCTGAAAATCCCCCATGTCTGTGCGGTGCCTTTAACACGGAATTACTGGGATATTATTAATACACCCGGTGCTTTTCCCCAAGTGGATGCTTTTTCATGTTTTCACCTGTTGTGCGACTTGAACCCCCTCATGCACAACAGCAGATCCCTCCTGGGGATCCTCTGCTCTCCGTTTCTGAAGCAGAGCTTTGATCAGTTTGTCCCTGTGACCGAACTACCGGGAGTTTTCATGCTTAGTGGGAAACCTTGGCCCAGCCCTGGGTCCAGCCTGACCTGCTGGTGCCAGAGCCCCCCTGGCTACTGAAGCCAGTGAAGAAGGGAGGGTGCAGCCTGAGGGCAGGCTGCTGCGGTGCTTTGCTCAGCAGCAGCGTTCAGGCTCCTGAGCTCTCGGGGCAGCTGCTGACTCGAGCGCACGAGGGTTGTTACCTGTGGGAGAGCTCTAATGGAAGTGATGCCACAGCCAAAGAAACAGCTTTCCACCTTGTAGCAGTCGCTCTCCTGAAGCCCTCTGAGGCACGCCAGCAGGGACAGGTCTCTCCGAAGTCCCGTGACAGTGACAGGCGCAGCAGCCAGGACGAGGCCAAGAGGCCAGAACTGAATTATCGCCTGTAGAGGCCGAGTTGTTTCCAACGAGCGGGGTGGTCTGGCCAAAAACTCCTTTTCTTCACCCTCGTCCAGTTCCGCTGCCGCTAACGCAGCCATCTTTGCCTGAAGGAGAGATGCAGAACAACATCCTTGAACGAGATTCTCAAACATCCTGAACAAAACTTAAAACTGCAAAACTAAAAGTCTAAAAAAAAGAGGGTATTTTAAGGGAAATTTTCCCATTTTATGAAGGTAAGGAACGAGTTTATTCTGCATCTGTATGCTGGTACCCTGCAGAAGCAGCTGAACAAGGCTGGCATCCATCGTCTGCTCTTCAGCTCGAGAAGAGTATCCTGGAGACTTGACAGTATTGGTTTTGTACAGTTGCTTGACAGAGGTGGAGTCTCTCAAACACTACAAAGCCTCGCTCGCTCCACTTCAGTGCTTTCCCCTACCAACGTACTTACTTTCCAGTTCCTCCAGCCGTGCTTAATGACATCAGCAGCCCTGCGCATCCTTTGGAAGCGATTCTTGGCTAACCAGGAACGAACAGCTGAAGATTTAATTAAAAGAATCTGAGTCCAAAGAATATCAGAAGCTCTTGCACACAATGTCACGGAGATGGCATTTAAGCTTTCTCCACATTCAATTAACATCACCGCTCCCGCCGCCTCAAACGCCCAGTGTAACTGGAAATGTTTTGGCCACACCCTTATCAAGTTACCTGCTTGGATGACCGTTGCAGACCATCTCTCCTTGGCTAGTTTCTTCTGTTTAAATCTTCTCCAGCAACACTGAATGCAAAACGCTTTCTCATTCAACACCTCCGCTCTTCTAGCTTCAAGCTGCTCCAGCTGCATTGGGGATACGAGCCGGCAGTTAATACTCGGCGACGGAGTTGTGTTCACAACTCTTTCCTCTTCTACAGTCTCTTGGTATTTGTTAGAAAACCACGTGCACGTTTCAGTGTCCTAAGACGGCTGGATGAGGCTTTAGAAGTGAGAGCACTTCGTTAGGGCTTATTAGGTAACGCATGCAATGAAAATGTGAGCACCTGAGGAGGAAAAGAGTGTTGTGGAGGTAAAAAGTGGACAATCCTAAAGTCATGGTAGCAGCTGGCTTAAAACTAGCTCCACTGAAGGGGGTTCTTCGGTGGCTGCATCCTCCAGCGTGCAAACTTTGCACAAGTGCCTTTGTCTCCTCCATTTCTTTCACAAAGAAGCTGCTTAGGCCGGCCAGAGTAGCCCAGTCTGGCAGTGGAAGCTAAGGAAAGCTGTAATCTTTACTGGAACTGGGAGGAGAGCGACAGCGCTGGATGCAAGTGCAGCTCCTCGCCTGTTAGCAAGAAGGATGCCATTCAAGTGCTTCTGATGGAGGTTTGATTTAGATTAATAATTTGAAGGAAAATGCCAAATTCTGGTCACACTGGCGTTGGCAGTATTGCCCAAAGCATGATGGTAATCTGTGCCAGACCCCCATCATGCAAGGCCGCCCCAGCACGGTCAGCCAAGCAGGCAGCGCTCTTACCACAGCGTTGGCCATGAACACTTTGGTTCTGCCGCAGTACACCACAGCGTTCTCCGCTCTGTTCCCGGTTGGCTCAGCAGGAGCTTCTCCCGTAACAACGTTCTGAAGGATCTCAACAACGGCAGAACGTGATGCCTTGTCCTCACCCGCCAGCGGAGTCCTGCCTGCGAGGGAAGCGTTGAAGAGACGGTATCACAACACTTGGAAATCGGGACCAAGTGATTGTCTTTACGCTGAGACTTCTTGGCCGTTTGGGGGGGTACACCTACAACCAGAGGGGAGGGGGCAACGGCCGAGACATCGCTACATCTGGCTGTGCTTAAGGGAAAAATGTGACATGGATTTCGCCACGTGCTAGCAACTAGAAACCCAGCATGGCTTGTTTGCACTAGGGTGTAGTGTGGGGGCTATCTTACCACCCCTGTTAGGTAACAGCTGTCATTTTGGGTAGATCTGGACAATGAAACAGTCATACGGGGGGGGCTCAGCTGTGCTCACGTTGTTTAAAGCATCCTATGTGGAAACATTAGAAAGCAACAGCAATGCAGTTTAAGAAGAGATTTGAGCAGCTCAGTCCTAAGAAAATCTGACGAAATACCCAAAACTGAAAGCTGTTGGGAATAAAGAGCAAACAGCAAGGAGTTAGACTCAGGGTCTTAATGCACTGAAAGATGCAGGAACAGAAAACAAATGCTACGCAGTTCTACAGCTTTGACGGGGCACCAGAGAGCAGCTACAGGGCTATGTACTAGGCAGGAGTTTATTGCAGCAGTAAGAGGTTATTAAAACCGATTCTGGGACACGGTCCACCATTTTTTTTACATTAGGAGACAAAGAGGTTAGCCAGATTAATCTATTTGGAAATAGAGGTAGACTTAATTCAGACCTGTCCTTGAAAGAGATTGTGTTGTTCAAGGCAATGCTGCATGAGTTTCTGCATGCCCAATGCTGGAACTTGATGGTCTTTGTATCTTTCCATCCTGGATACTGTTTGCTTTTCTGCTATAAATATTTCTAAGGAGATGAGAGCATTTTCAGGTACTGAAAACAAATATAAGCAATTCCTGCTCACAGGAAGACATCTGGTGACTATGATGGTGTTCGTGGGGCTGGGCTGATAAGGGAACCCAAAGCTTATCCCCGTGTTTAGGAAATTGTTGTGCTTTGTTTGCAGCTTATTACCTGCTACAGATAAAAAAGACTAGTAACCTATCACAATGAGGTATTCCAGCTAATGGGTTT